TTCGGATCGACGTCCGTGCTTGGTTTCTATGCATACGCGTGCTAAATTATCAATATAAAGCAATTATTTGCACAGTGCTGCATTTGATAGCAATAAATTTGTGGCAGTACACGAGGAAGCTATTTTGGACGAAAAAAAAAACTGAACGAGAAATACTGAGCACAGTTTCAAGCAAGCGCTTCAAAAAACTTAAAGGATCCAACCTAGTGAAAATACAAGACGGAAATGAAGGGATTTGAAAACTTAAAAAAAAAGACCCAGCTGGGAGAGTTTGTATTTCCTTCAGAATTCTTAGCGTTATGCAATAATGTGTCAAACTTGCCAATAATACGGAAAGGGAGAGGGAGCGACAATCAAATCATGCTTTGTATAGAGACTTCACCCTTATTTCATTGCCTCACAGATTTCAACGTAATAGATCCTGAGTACTAAAAAATACGGTCAAACTCTACCTACGATATACAAAGCAGTTATTTCTCTACCTCTGCGATGCACTAAGTAGAACTGTTTCTGAAGCACTTAATTATTTGGACGCTTGGACGGCCCGTTGTCACTAACCGTGCGGGCTCCTCCTACATATTCTCCATTTTTTGGAGTTTTGTTGGTTAAGCCATTGTGTTTCCCAGAAGTTCCGAGGACAGCCTGGCCAAATTCTGACCCAGGTCGTAATCCCCATAGACAGTTACCGCCCTTGTGGATCAGGAGATTTGCCATCATGCGCTAGGACGGTGATGGATCCCGGTATCTTGGAAGGTCCTGTCGGGGGATGATTTCCCCTGCTGTAATCGCAGCCTGACACTCAGGAACACCTTTCAGTCACGATGAGGCCGTAAACCATTGGGAGGCTTAGATATAATATTATACTGCAATTGATTTCTATGTGAAAGACAGACAACGATGCACTTTTCACCAACACAACCCAACTTATCAATGCTGATAAATCAAACCAAAGTAGTGCATGGAAACTACGACTCCCACAGCAACTCCAATTTAAATACACACAATGCTGCTTAGGACTCGTTCTTCAACAGAAATTTCGTATTTCGTAGTAGCAGACCCGTTCGGTTTTAAAAAATCATACTGTTGTTGATAACGCCATCCGCTCATTCAAACCAGTTAAGGTAAATGAGAGTTTTCTTTAGAACAACCAATAAAAATAACCGACAAAAATTCATAAGAACAATAACATTCAACGCATGAAATAGATAATATTCACACCGAAGAAAAATTGTATACAGAAAATGTAACTGCTTCAATCACAAGGCAAATTTTAGCAATAGTATTTTCAGAAAGCGAGACCAAAATATGGCGTAACATAGAAGTCTACCGTAACACCTACATTCACCTGATGACCTTTGGTAATACGGGAATAGCACAGTTTGGGAAATGCAAGAAAGCTGGCACCTAATCTTTGTCTTTTTTCAGAGTGTAGTTTTAAGTCAAGCTGTGGTTATGAATTCTATGCATAATCTAAAAAGTGCACTAAGTCCTCTTCTTCTGTGAATATAAAGGGGAAAGTGAATACATCAACAAAAAAAATTTAGGCGAACAATTCATAGGAATTTACATCACAACTCATTAGTACGATCATGTGCGCGTGTTCCTTAGAAACACTGAACTGAGGAGTGGCAATTCGAAAGTTTGAAAGCGCTGAGCCAAAACTGCGACCATTACTATTCTCTTGGGCGAGACTACCCATTGCAGCCACACATCGTGCCATTGAAATTCGTTCATCCAGAACATTCGTTACAAAACTATCAACTGATTGCGAGTCTTTCACAGTATTCGTCAAGTCCTCTCTGAACGGATTGGTTTAAAGTAAAATTCAAAGCAATGATTGCAATGAGATATTATGTTGAAATACGAGCTTTCACTGATTTCTGCTCAGAAGAGGGCCGAGAACCACCGTGGTGGACGGAGAGTTCGATCTTGGTTCGAGCTTCAATGAAGACGGCATGAATCGCGCTCAAATCAGAATATAGACGACACAACGAACGTAATCAGCTTCTCTTTTACTAGCAACGACCGTTACCTCAGCTCAGTAAGCTAGAATAAACTGAGACCTCATAAGACACCTCACATTCTGAACTATGCTTAACGCTGACCGTTATAAGAAGCAGCTAGGGATGCATGGCGCTGCCCTGAAAGGAAACCAAAACGGATCATAGTTCCGTTTTTTCGTCAGCTCTATGTTCCAAAATGAGATCCTCGTTAATGAAGGAGTTGGGCCAAACTAGTGTACTCCATGAACTCGGTCCACCGGACGTTCTGCACATAGCGTCTTCAGACTAACATAACCCTTCTTTGTTGGTCCACGTCACAGTGGATTTATGCTTTTTTAAAGTCTGAAAATCATCATTTTGATCACTTTCGTAACCCTAACCAAAATTCACTAGGCCTAAGCTCTAACTGTATGGCAAGCAGCTTGTTTCTAACAACAGCAGCTGTTTTTTTTTGGGGGGTCCCGCCATTGGTAGGGGAGACTAGCTACAAACCGTTCATCTTGGGATGAAGGGTGCCACTTTTTCAGGTGGAAATCTACGATGAAGAACAACTATAATGCATCCCATCTTACGGTTCATTCCTCGGTTCCAATGGTTGATACAAATGTTCTGGAGAATTTTCCCTCTGATGTTTTAAATTCTTGAAAAATAATTGTAACCTTGGCTTCAAGATCCTCTCCACTATGCTTTTATACACTACACGTGTCAAAGCGAATGCTTTGTCTAACTCTGTGTTTTCTATGCAGGCGCTCCTTATTGCGGATATAACATAGTTGACTCGTAACGCAATGTATTCGCCTCCTCCCTGCACGATGTCACAGATTTCTTAGAGAAGCTCTTTCCAGAGATCGTCTAACAGCCGGTCTTGTCTCGTGGGAAACGAAAGGCAGGATAAGCAAAACTGTATTTCCGCTATAATGACCGATTCGGGCAACGACTTTTTCTCTAAACCAAATTTGAGATGATACCGTTTTGAAGATGACTGCTGCTCTCTTTCCAGTATAACTAGCAGCCGTTTGGAACACACTTCTTACAAATGCTCACCTTGTGTGGAATGGATAAAAATAAAAGGATAAGAAAAGGATGAAGCCGTCAGCGTTGATCAATCTTTGAAGCGTGCGCCATGCATTCGACCTCATTAAGCATCGTAGGAGGTGAGTGAATGCATATCTGGCCTTTAAAATGACTCGCAGTGGCCTACCGATGTATCGAGCCAGTGCTTCTGTCCTTTCTGACAAGTCTGGTACCAATTTACCGACCCCGGAAGGATGGAAGGCTTGATGAGCCATGGGCGCGGGGATCGATATCATGTGTTGTAGGGCACCTCCGTCCACTGCGCCACACGCACCCTAAGAATAAAAACAGTGGAACAATATGTTTTCGCAATGAAAGAACAGTAATTGATATTGAGACTATCGGTTGCTCCGATCCTTGCAGCTTTACATGCGTGACATGAAGTTGGACAAAAACGAGGAACCTCGAAAATAACTCCGCTCCTCCACTATCTTCTTCGACTAGCAACGTAGCGACCTCGCTCTTTGCCGAAGTAAAGTGTCCAAAATGTAATCCTTGATAATGACGATAAATACGCTAACATTGATGGTAAGTAACGCTGTGTTCTGAATAATTGTTTTTCTGCTTATATAACTTGACTTAATATATTACGGAGATCCGAGCAATTCCTTCCCTCGATTTCAGCTCTTTATATCTGTTATCCATGAAGGTCTTCAGACTTAAGCATGAATTTGACCGCCACATGAATATTTTGTTTTCCTCATGAATGTCGTCGAATATGATTTTGGACTGATTTTGCCTTGAATTCTGACATAGGCGTACTACAGCGTTCCCAGATCTTCACCAGAGGTAGTTATCAGTATCTGTTTATTGAAGGAAAATTTGTGAAGAATGGAACAAATTAGTAGATTCCTGAGGGATGGCATATTCAATTATCACAGGTGCTCTTAATATACAGAAACAAAAATTAAAATGTTGTCAAAATTTGCCAGGACTTATGTTCCAACTTAACAATACAATGCGTTTGAGAGGTGCTCAACAACAGGCAAAAAATAGTAAGAGTGAAATTCCCCACAATTAACCCATACCTTATGAAAACGTCACTCCACCTTGTCAGGATTCGTGTTTGTTGATTACCTTCCTTAATAAGCAGTGAGTTTCTCAAGTTCGGCGAGAGGTGCATTCCAGCAATCTAGAATTCTTCGTAAGCCCACATTTAATAAGTTACAACTACAGACCTTCAAAACATTGCCAATGTGCTCAAAAAAAAACTTTGGTGCTATTATGAACAAAACCAGAAGTGTCTTTTATGAACGGACTCAAAAAAACCACAAAAAGATAAGAGTACCGCAGTGCTGTTGCAAGCTGTAGCTGGATCAAGAAGACCAATAGACGTACTCAGGTGACGGTCGAATACAACGTGACTGACGTACTGCTTCTCGTGCTGACGCCGACGAATTTTACCCACAAATGTGTTCAAGTGCAGGCGACTTCTTGATGCAATGTCTTCACCAAAGTCTAAGCGAGGTGGTCTAAAAAACGAACACTTTCTCTTCCCAGTTCTTACACTTTTCTCCTCTTCCAACCATATTTTCACATCTTTATATCTACATTTTTCGTTCTACTCACTTAAGATTTAGTATCTTGAGGGTGATACTCGAGGAGGCAGATGGCTTGAAACGCATAGCCTCCCTCACAGTTCCCCAAGAAAAGCGTTTAGCATCATTTGCTTGTTGAAGATTGGTCAATGAATGAACTTTCGATAATGAAGGAGAAAGGGAAACATCGCGCTAAATAAAATTGCGGTTTAAGATGGAACTGTAAGACAAGTAAAAGTGTTGAAATCTCAAAAACCAGTGCCTAACTTACCGACAGACATATGAGACGTACCAGAACACCCGTCACAACACACACAAGAATAGAATCAGACATGGAATATGTGCAATGTACGTCGAAAATCACGTTCGCATTTGGATTTAGAGATTTGGCCTCACATATCAAGCTACTGTATAGATCGTGGTCAATAAACGGCAAAACCTAAAGAAAAATAGTAAATTACTATCATTATGGCATTCACCCCACTGAATTCTGACGCAACAATTCTTCTTGTACGCAGTGTTTTAACACTTCCGCAACGAGTGCCATTTATAGGTGTCACAATGGTTTTGCGGGAGGGACTAGTATGACACTAACAGGTTTCACTTTCTTCCCATGGGCTTGCTTTAACACAAAGAGCTACTTTCCTGCAGTTTTTGCTAACAACTGGCAGCTCGTAGAAAACACATCTATTGTGCTGAGCGTTGATTGGTCGGTAGAAGATCTATTCTGCACTTAGGAATAAACGTATATTATACTATAACTGTACTATACACATACAAAGTCATTTCAATTTTAACTGCTGCAGTGAATGATAGCCATATAAACATTAAATACGATAAAACGCTGTATGTAAACTGGGTGTAAAAACAACTGAAATAGAGACCCATAAGTTGCAAAATTCTTCCAGTGCTGGTTATAATTTCTTTACATGATGCACTATAGTAATACACAGCAAACAGAACCATAACATCACTCATACCGATAGAACGACAGAGCAAAGTCATTTCTTGAAAAATAGGTGTTGCCGTTTCCGCAACAAACCCGAGATTAGGCGTCGCGTGATTGTTAAGGATGTTGAAGCATTTCGGTAGGTGAGCGCCACTATTCCAAACTCCAACTTTTACGTCAATAATCGTATTGAACAAGAACGTCACTACGGAAGTTTTCAGAGCTCCGTTATAGTCTCGGCTTTAAGTTTGAAAACATTTTCTAGGTGAATTTTAGGTAGTGCATTAGGTAGCAATGCTTAACCTCGTTATACTGCCTATCTGATCTCCGATGTTAAACCTGGCTAAAGTTCAGCGTCCTCATGTGGTTGTTCCTTATCGGTGCAATATCTTTTGACACTTAGGGCCTGATGTAGCAGATTTCCACTTATACGTGGGGAAAGAGAAGAACAAATCGGTCGGTAGAAATTGATATCAATTCAATACGATACTACGCTGTGCAAGGTAACACGCATCACTCCAAAAGGATGCGCTAACTATGAACACTGTGGTCTTCAAGGGAACTAAGCTGAACCAATATCAACTCATTTTGTTACACTTGTTGTCCACACCAGTCCATAACATATTAAACACAGACCACTGCACAGTTCTTTCGCTGCACTAAAAAGTTACACTTGAAGAATTATTTCGAAAGTGACTCCGATGATAAAATTCATCGATTGAAAGCCCAAGTCGTCAATCATGTTAGGCTTTTTCAGCACCAAGAAACAATGCTTCCTTTGACAAATGTTTCCCGTTAAAAGATACCCATCTGCAGGATTCCGTGGTTTAAGGGAACGAGTAAAACAAATAAACTCGTAAGCAGCTCATCATCCTTTCCTAAAGTTAACAGAAAGCCTTTTTTGTCAACGTTAAACTAGATTAAGTTCAGGTATTTTTTGGTCATCAGAACTAAAGCACTTATCCGTATCTGTTTTCCAAAATGCAACTAAGAAATATTTAGAAACTTATGCGTTTCCCTGCTAAACATGAATGAAACCAAACACTGTAAAACCAACGAGTCATCCACCATCCACATGCGTCTAAGGGTAACCATACGAGACTCGTAACAAACCGCATGCTCTCCATTAAATTACGCAAATGTGAAAACCATCTAAAATGAAGGAAAAAGAAAACAAAACATGGAAGAGCAGCCTGACATTGCTAACTTCAGTGGCGTACTCCGCCGCCTCATTCGGACTGGTGGATAATTTCTTCGTGACGGATACCTGGAAATTTCAGATTTTGTTGGTTCTCTAATGGACTCAGCCTTACCACCATCTATTCAAAAATAACGCAAACAGCATATTACGTCTCCACATAGTTATTTAAAAAATTTGATTTATAAAACCCAGTGCTGCCATAGACTGTAGGAAATTGCAGACAATATATAAAAGCAAAAAACAATTAGATATAAGAAATACCTGGATAAATGATTTTGGCCCAATAAGGTAGTGTGAAGGAGGACAAGATGTAGTACATATTAAGAAATCAGTGACTGAACCAATTCTAAAATATATATATACTGTTATGACCTTCTTGTTGTTTTTGTGTCAATTATATTCCTTATAGCAGGTTCGGCATATACATGCATATATGCATGTATATATTATATCATATACTATACATTATATATCATGTGCCCTCCCAACGGCTCACCAACTCGTGGATGGAAGGTGTTCCTGGGTGTCGGGCTCTGATGTACAGCGGGAGGGGATTCATCCACCCAACAAGGCCTTCCAAGCTGAGAAGGAGTCCGGCGCTTCCATCAGGAAGCCCAGCTAGGAGTAAACCAATAGCTGGGTCCACCACCGTCCTGGTGTCAAAGTAGTCGCATGGTGGCAAAGCTCTCTATGAACCACAAGGGCGGCGACTGCCTGTGGTGGTGGAGACCTGGGACAAACTTTGTCCTGGCTGACCTCGAGACTCCACAGAACCACATTGGCTAAGTCAGCAAAACTCCGAAAAAATGGAATTTATGCTAGGGCTCGCAAAACCCGTGAAGATAGGCCATCCAAGTATCAAAGTAGATCATGTATCATGTACGATTTCACTCGATAAGCTTACAGCATACCTGCAAGAAGAACAAATATGAGTAGTAACGTTGAACGGCGTACGTCCAGCTTGAAGTGGAGTATGAAACTGCGAACACATAAAAGAATGTCGCACATGTGAATCAGTTCGTACCTCTCGGCATTCCTAGGCACTAGAACGGTTTTCAAAAAAAAACATGACCCGATCGAAATTTTGAGATCAACTAAAATGAGAAATACACATATGCCCTAGGTTTTGACAAATCCGCAGATGTCCCATGCTTTCCAGTTCATCAAGCACCGTAGAGGTGATTGAGTGCATATCTGGCCTATAGAACAACTTGCAGCAGTCAACTAACATAGTCAGTGCCACTATCCTCACAGAAAATTATGAAAACAATTTGTCGACCCCATAGAAATGAAAGGCTCGGTAAGGCTAGAACGTGGGATCGAACCAGCGACCAATTCAGTGCGCATTGTAGGGCACTCTAGCCAATGCACTACACGTTCCTAGCTGGTACATTAAAAACCACAGAATTCAACCAAAATACCTTCGATTTCTTTTCGTTCGCCGCCTGACCAAACGAAATATCCCCTCCAAAGACACTTGCTTCTTCTTTTCGACCCATCACCACAGCAGTGCCGCTGCATCCAATCAGTGCTATACCTGTAATGCAGGTGAGAAAATGATCTCGATGACAAATTTCATCACGTATTCTTATCTCTCTAACGGCGAACAGAACAAATGGTGCAAATTCTGCACCCGTGAGGATCATTTTCAGTGACTGAGCAACTGCGAGGCAGTTGCTCACAAGATCGGGGTGGACTGCTCCTGTGGCAGCTCTGACTAAAAGCGACGTTTTCCATAACCTTAAAAGAAGGTGGACTGAGATGGTGGATTCACTTTCTCTGCATGGACCGGCACACCATTTTGCATGGGTAGAGACGTATTCAAGAATATCATACGTGGGTGTTCTTGCATAAAAGCTCGTGTCCAACATGTCAATTTAGCTCAAATTTTTCAACCAAGTAATTAAAATATACGAAAGCAGTTCAGAGTCGCTTAAAATAGAAAATTGCACGTTTATTCTAAACGATTTCGTCACGCTTAATATGTATAGCCAGCCACGTGAAAAGCCCGACAAGCTGCCCGCGTATCAATAATAATAGAATTACATGGGTCAAACCGAATTAGCTCTTGCTTTGGTAGTGTTGATAACTATAGACAAAGACCTTAATAAAATCGCAGAGCCGTAAGAGCCTGCAAAACACGAAGTACTATAGTCAAGATCTGAGCATTTACTTCAATTCATTTTTTTCTACAAATGTGGTGAAGAACGGTAGGCTTAACGTTGGAACGGTTCGAAATTTCCATTCGGTAGGTTAGTTGAGAAGGATGCCCATGTCATAGCAGTTTCCACACCTGGACTGTAAGGAAGATCAGGTCAACAAGTTTATTCACAGAAATCAACCACAATATTGCTGAGATATTTGCAAAACTCCGGAGGGCAGATGCCTGCGGTGGGGATCGAACACGACTGGAAGCGATGAAATACGTAACTGGCCTTTATAATGACTCGCGGTGCCCTACAGATGTATCGAGTTAGTGCTGCTATCCTCCCGGACAAGTTTGGCATCAATTTGCCGACCCCGAAGGAGTGGGAGGGCTTGGTGAGCCTGGGGCGCAGAGGTCGATCCCAATAGGGCGCCTCCAACTAGGAACATAGAAAACTTAGTCAAAATGTTACAAATACATTTGCGTACAAACCATCATTAACAGTGAACTGCTCGGAATATCCTATTATAAGATTACAGCCAACAGCTACTGCCTGTTGGTGACACTCCGCACGAAGGTCATTCCACCAGCTGAAAACGAAGTTCCAGAGGTGGTATCCATTTTAGGATTAATATATTTCGAAGTGTCAGCAAACATCACCTTTTCCTGGTAAGCTCTGGATCGTCGTCGTCATCCTCTAATATATGGACAGCACGAACCGCAACAATAGCTCCGGTCCCACACTGCCTAAACAACTTTTCTGGAAAATACATGTGGGCTCTCGAATATAATCCACTACAACAATCTCCAGACAGAACACACCTATTTTGAGGTACCTCGCTGATGGTAAGTATAGGAAAATCTACACGTTCACTCCATGTGTCTGAAAGGAGAGACTATCATTTGGAAGGTTACTAGTTTTGAAAGGTTCACTTGGTATCGAGAAGTTACCACTGTTACAAAACCAGTCAACGAATGAAAAGAAATTAGGAAATACGACGGTGGAGCAGTGAAAAAGGCTTTAAAGAGGATAAATACCCACAAATTAATGTGTAGGTAGTGGGATTCTTTACCGCAGTTGGAAAATCCTGGAAGTGAGTTCAATGACACCTTCTCAAAGGTCCAATACGGAAGCTTTCTGTGTATTCACTTTCCTCAAATTAATTTTTACACCTACCCTTGTCAAATTTACAGATATACACTGTATACAAAGCTTCATGACATTAATAATTGTCATACGCCTTAGAGTACTTGAATCCTAGATGATGCAAAAGGATAAAAAGAATAAAGCTATCGGCGTTTATGAATCCCTTAGAGATGTGCCATGCATTCGACTTCATTAAGTATCGCTGGAGGTGGTTAAATGTATATCTGTCCTTTACAATGACTCGCAGTGACCTATTGATGTATCGAGCCAGTGCCGCTACCCTCCCAGACAAATGTGGTACCAATTTGCCCTCCCCGAAAGAATGGAAGGCTTGGTGAGCCTGCCGCGCTGGGAACGATCTCATGTGTATCGAAGGACACCTCCGACCACTGCGCCACACGCTTACTAGATGATGTATTCCAATATTTCTATAGTACCCCACGTATGTTCTAAACGGCGAATACTAGCAAATTATTAACTAATGAAGTCTATGTTTCCGGAAAATAACCTGCATTTTTTCCTTTTTCAATCCGAAGTGCAGTGCCCAAAACGCGCACAGTGAACAGATCTGTAGAAGAACCCTCAGTGTCCAAGTACTCTCGATACCTGTAGTCAAAAAATAGTAGAAAAAAAAATAAAAAAGACGAGAAACGTAGTACTTTCCTACAAGATATGTCTCATATATGGAAACTGACTGGATTTTTTTGCACATACCCACAAATGAGACTGCACTGGTACTTGTGAACCTTGTGAGCTAAGCTCACTGCTGCATTCTTCAACGCATCACGCATAGCTGACTGACGGGCCTCGTTTGTTGCTCTGGGTGTTCGAATCCTTAATGAATACAGAAAAGAAACCATGCAGTGAACAGGAAATGGAAGATGGCTGCTTCTATAAAAACTAACAAAATTTTTACCTGTCGAGCCATTCATAGTCTGGGTCTTTCTCGCACTTGAGGTGATGCACTAGACCAACAATCTCAACTACACGATAGTCAAATGGCACTTGGTACCCTGTATATAAAAAGGATAAAGCTCTTGGTGTTGATCAATCCCTGGGGGATGCCCCATGCATTCGACTTCATTAAGCATTGTTGGAGGTGAATGAATGCATGTTCAGGCTTCATAATCACTCGCCGTGGCCTGCTGATGTATCGAGCCAGTGATGCTATCCTCCTAGACCAGTCTGGTAGCAATTTGCCGAACCAGGAGGGATGCAGGAGCTGGTGGACCCGCGGCGCGGCGATCGATCTCATGTGCATTGCAGGGCGCTTCCCTCCACTGCACTACACGCTTGATATCCTGTAGCAACGCGAAATACCTCGTGCAATTACCACTAACTTTCTTCACAGGAAACATGGTTTAACAGATGAGCGACTATGTTTAACCCCCGATGACGTTGGCGTGGAAAAACACCCAGTTTTTCTCCGCTCACGATGTGCCTTGAACACTGCGCATACCACCTGCTTTGGCCTCTATGTATGCATTTAAGTCAATGCATACGGCAATGTATGTGTCAGAAATACTAGTAGTAGTTCGTGCAAAATAAGAAAGCCATCGAACAGTTTTCAGAGAGGAGCTTACAAATTGGAAGCAATGAAAACACGTTAACGGCAAGGACAATTTCTGTTTTCTGTCGATTGCTTAAAGATTGGGAATGGTATGTGCATGTATGTGCATATGTAAAAAAGAATACTTTTAAACAAAAAAAAAGACAAGATAGACGAACCGGATAAAATTTGTACGTAGTTCTTCCAATCCATATCAACCAGCAGATGTAACTTGACCCGAAAGATAAGTTCACCACGGTTACCTAAAGATTTCATTCATTATTCGACAAGCATTTATGAACCAAAAATAATAAGACAAGAGTGGCAATCAATGTGAGGAGATCTAACTTATCAACGACCCTATGGGTTCTTCGACAACTCATATTAGAATAACGAAGGAAATTCTACTGTATTGGGAGTTCCTACTGAAATTCTACTGGGACTGTTAGTTCCTCACAACCCACTCATCAATTGCATAACAATATGCTTTACTGTACTGTATAACTAATTGTATAACTATATTACTTTATAACTTTATACCATATATAACCAGAAGTCGTTTTCCGCAGCACAGTAGAACTCTATCTTCTACAGGTTTATCATAAACGCTCCCCAAAATTTTCTCCTTCTCCTGCCCTTATTTCTTCTTCTTATGTCTTTCCTTAAGATTTTGCACTTTAACACTCCTTAATTCGTACAAAAGTTTATCAATTTTAAGAACCAGCTAATGCGGGGGGAGTAAAAAGATCTACCTAAACGAAAGGAATTAGGATATCTTTATCAAAACGCGCTATACAGGTCCTTATCTTCACCACAGTTTAGGTCCACTTCTCATAAACAGCAGTTCTGTCGTTTCGTTCTGGCTATTGAGAACTTACTGAGGTAATAGATAATTGACCATATTGGACGAGTCAAAGATCTAAATTTACTTCAATTACATTCCGAACGACAATGTAACTTCTCTCAATTCTCAATCTAAAAGGAACCCTATTGAGTTAGTACAAAGACATAGGAAAAATGCAGCAACGGAATCAACCGAGAAAAACTTGACCACATATGACTCATATCATAGCATCTATTAGTGTCAATGCATACGATGTTAAACAAACAAGGAAACCAAAAATCGTCTTATACGGCTAGATCCGTCTGTTCTGTCCTTAATGTCGTTAGATGCACTAGTTTCAAAACGAAAACTAAATTACATCTTTCTATTTCTGTTCAGCAAGCACGAGGTGGTATTTTATTTCTTTATTTAAGCACGAGCTGACGTTTCGGCGGATTTCGCCTTCCTCAGAGCCTGGAAGGGTCAAGTTGACAGCAATCCACTCGGCCAAACACCTCCATAACCAAACAGAGAAAACTCTAAACCAAGATTTCAATCACATTTAGCATAGCTCTGCACACTCACCGCTTTCTATGAGTCTTCCACTGAGATATATCGCGTGAAGACCGACCGCACCAAATTCACATGGAAGCGTAATGTGCCCCTCCCATCAGAATAACAGGTTTATATACTGTCCAATATCACGCGTGATAACAAGGCATTCCTCCCTGCGGTTCATTTTCGGATTCTCGGAATTTATCCAGAATGCCTCTAGAGTTTTGCGCGCTCGTGTTCTCGATTCTTGCGCGAGGATCATAACCCTTACTTCAAAATCTTCTCCGTTATGTTTCTGCGTGCTATGCGTACCTAGTGGAGTACTTAGCTTACGTTTGCCGGCTAGGTGTTCTTTTATACGTACGCAGAGTGGTCCTGTGCGGTCGGTCTTCACGCGATATACTCAGTGGAAGACTCATAGAAAGCGGTGAGTGTGCAGAGCTATGCTAAATGTGATCGAAATCTTGGTTTAGAGTTTTCTCTGTTTGGTTATGGAGGTGTTTGGCCAAGTGGATTGCTGTCAACTTGACCCTTCCAGGCTCTGAGGAAGGCGAAATCCGCCGAAACGTCAGCTTGTGCGTAAATAAAGAAATAAAATAGCACCTCGTGCTTGCTGAACAGAAGTAGAAAGATATATTCAATCAATGCCGAGGTTAATAGAAAGTCGGACTTGGGAGTTACTAAATTACATATTCATAATAATAAATACCTGTGGATGACCCTAAAACATTTCAGTGCTGCTAAAAGGATATGTGGCACTTCTAACAACTTACAACCTAAATTATAGGAACAAACCAACCGTTAAGGGTGTCGTATATGGGAAGGGTGTGAGTCTCGTCTATCCTTTCCAACTCCTGCATTCGCATCTTTTCCGCGATGATATTTACGTCCATGTTTATTCGCCCAATAGCATCATTGGCCGAATAAGTGTCATGATCCATCACTCTTAAATTTAAAGTACTACTGTGTAATAAAAACTGTCCACTAAAAAAACATTACACAATAAAATAAATAAAGAATGAAGCTCTTGGCGTCGATAAATCCCTGAGGATTGCGCCATGCATTTGACTTCATTAACCATCGTTTGGAGGTGACTGGATGCATATTTGGCCTTTACAATGACTCGCAGTGGGCTACCGATGTATCGAGTCAGTGCTGCTATCTTCCCATACAAGTCTGGTACCAAATTTTCGACCCCGGAGGGATGGATGGCTTGGTGGCCCAGGGGAGCGGGGATCAATCCAACTTGTACTGCAGGGCGCCCCAGACCACTGCGCTACACGCCCTCTTCAGAAATTAGTATCCACATCTGTCCTATGAAGGCATTACAAGTAAAAATATGAACACATGTTATCTTTAGCCTACAGATTCGAAACTGCCTAATGAGACGATGTACGAAAACTTTCTGCCGATTTTCCGTTTCATTTTCAGTATAGAAGGGGAAGAATTCTCAGTACTACTAAGTATGAAAACCTTCTCACCTAAACTGAACTCCACACTCCGACAGTTGCTTTTCATCCGTATCGAATAGGAAGAGATCGCTGTCCCATTGAGGATTGAGACTAGTAACAACGTCCGTCTTGTGAATCTCATCGGCAAATCGAACTTCTACAAAGGCATCCGTGCAATTTATTGACTGAAATAAAACGGCAAAACTACAGTGGTGAAAATATCACAGAACCGATGTAAGTTTACAGCAAGTTGTATAAGAAAAAAAATGTTCCCTACAGCAACGAAATTTGAGGCAACTCGATGAATTGCTCGACATCTCATCTGAGTACATTGCTCCCATCAGCCTGGCCAATCCGACAGGCAGTCGGAGTCCTTCTGGATCAGAGGGAGATTTACCACCATGCGACTTTGTTACCAGGACGGTGGCGGATCCTGGTACTGGTTTAGTCCTACTTGGGCTTTCTGGTGAAAACGCCGGACTCCTTCGCCGCTTCGGAGGGACTGCTGGGGGTATGAATCCTTCCACTATACATCGCAGCCTGACACCCAGGTACTCCTCCCAGCCATTATGGAGCGATAAACCATAGGAAGGTTTGTTTATTTTATGTTCTCGATTTTAGGCCTACACTTTAGCTCTCATTGTTCCCACATTTAAAACGAACAATTGAGTTAATCAGAAATTTCGGTTGAAGAAAAATAAGAAAACCCAACAGTAATGTCCGTATTGGCTTTTATGTGGTTATGCTATGTGTGCTTAAAAGTAATAGATATTAGACAGGTTCACCAGATTAGAAGTATTTTTCAAAATGATTGACAGTGGGATGCTTCCTGCAGAGGTTCTATGCTTTTGACTCAAATTTACTTTTTCAATTACGTCATGATTCGCTCATACTGAAGATGAACAAAAAGGATAAAGGATAAGACTCTTGGCGTTGATCAATTCCTAAGGAAGCGCCATGCATTCGACTTCATCAAGCATCGTTGTAGGTGTTTGAACGCATATCTGGCCTTTACAACGACTCGTAGTGAACGACCAATGTATCGAGCCAATGTTGCTATCCCCCAGACAGGACTGGTACCAATTTACCCACCACGGAGGGAAGGAAAGCCTGGTGGGTCATGGGCGCGTAGATCCAATCCCATTTGTATTGCAAAGCGCCTCCGACCACTGCGCCACACGCGCCCTCTCAACAGAATGGATAGCACTGAAACAAATCAACTTATTTCACAATAGAGGACATAACTGCCTTCCTATTTCTTCAACATTATGTGAAAAGTTTGCAAAAGAATTGGGAATTATGGAGATTCTTCGTCCTATCGCTCTAAGGGCGAGTGTGGCGCAGCGGTTGGAGGTGCTCTGAAACACACACGTGGAAACGATGTCCGCGCCCATGGAACACCAAGCCCTCCATCCTCAGGGGTCGGTAAATTGGTACCAGACTTGTCTTGGATGATGGCAGCACTGGTTCGATACATCGGTGTGTCACCGCGAGTCATTCTAAACGCCAGGTAAGCATTCAATCACCTCCAAACGATGCTTAATGAAGTCGAATGCATGGCGCATCCTTCAGGGATTGATCAACGCCGAGAGCTTTATCCTTTATCTTATCGCTCTAAGTTATATGAAAGCTCTTGCGTCGTTACTCGAGAATCAAATCACACGCCAGCGGAGGCTACGAGTGACGACGGGTCATCGACTCGGTTACAAGAGGAGTAGCCATCATTAGCCCAACATTCAAGGTCACCATTTCATTTCACTAGAAAGCCAACCACTGATCTCATCACTTCACTGGTGGAGGGACAAGCCTCAGAACAAAAGAATGATTCTTGGCCTTCAGAAACCTGAGCATCTAGCTTGGAAGGATAGGCGAACTCACATCTTGTCTACAAAAACATTTAGATTCATGTGATATATTATTTTAACGAAGTTTTAAATTGACTTTGTTATGAAGTGCGATATATTTGGTCAAATCAATACCAAAACTTTTCCCATTCCCAAAATCTTCGCTATTTTTAAGATAGCGACATAGAACTGGAGCTAAAATGAAGAATTGAAAGTAGACTTTAAAGAATAGGAAAACATCTCGGTATGAGATAAAACATTTTGAATGAATTAAAAATTCTTATGGGTGGAATGTCGGATACTCAGGGTATCATTTGATGATGGGACTGAGCCCGAAGGAGGGAATCTCAAGAAAGTAAAACAAGAACTTGATTTGGAAACGTAGACGGATTAAAAATTCTGGACGATGTAAAAGAAGAAACTTCCGAAGACCAAATGCCACAGCTCTCTCCCTCACTCTCTTAAGACTTTCTCAAGCGCAAGTACACGGCTCTCTTTTACAGACAATACATGTGCAGAACATTTTAGCAGAAAAAAAGGCACATGAGGTTTTCTATCTAAGAAGGAAATTATGAAGAATACAAAATAAACGTCTGATGTAGATGATGCTGACAATCGTCTATCTATATTTATGTAAATCTATATGTAAAAATAAATAGAATAGAAGTTCAAAAATAAGGACCTTATTCATTACAGGAAGTCCCGTGGCGGCAATCACAGCCACTTCAAGTCGTACCGGCAGTCGATCACAACAGACAGGAACGAGCATTCCACTTCCGCTACAATGAATCCATCCAGAAACGGAACTTCATAAGCACTTATGTAACAAGAGAACATAGCACTAGAGTAGAGAAGTAAGATACGATCAGATCACTAGAGTTTTGCACATTTTCTTTACTACAGCGCCGCATTATGGCATATCCTAGCAAAAAATCAATAATCGGGTCTTGTTCCTGATAGGTAGAGCTGCAACCTACAAGCTACAATAAGATGGAATAACAAGTCATAGATCTCAGCAATATAGAAGATTTTTTCCAAAGTTCCCCTTTTTATTTTAATCGTGTTTCAAGTGGACATGGAGAAATAAAGGGACCCTCGACGAGGACCATGAAAAATGGACTAGAATACTGCTACTTTTAAGTAATCGTTATGTAAAACAGAGAACACCTTCAAATTAAGGGAAGAGGAAAGTTAAAGTGCCGAATCGATGTTAAAGGGATGTTTCGAAGAGGCAAAATTCTCGTATGAAGTTCACAAGGACGAAAAACGGAATGAAATTGGAGTTGAGGTAGGTCACTTAAGTGAGTAGTGTAAGCCACTGGAATGCGCATTGAATTGAATTCGTACATCCAAATAAGCAACTCAAAAGCCATACAATTACTGTTTTTCAACATTACTAGTACAAAAAACCTGTGTGAGCAGTGAAGAATGTATGTGACGAAATGCTGACGGACGCCTGATTGCGCTTGCTTTAGCTCCGCTCAATTGCGGGCGCCGCTCCGCCCCACTCCTGGCCTCTGTGTCCATTTCGCCCTCTACGAATGGAAACCCATTGGCCGATTACCTAATTCCTCTACTGAGTTCGTTAAACACTTCTTATTCTCGCAGTGATGTAATTTATCTAATTGTTTTTCTTTACATATGCTTTATTACATGACTCGATATCACATACGATGTCGATGCAGTCTTCGAACTTTACGCGTGTGGATTCGGCTGCTGCTCAAGTATTCCTTTTTTGTCTTCTTTATGAATGTCGTAAAATGCTAGTGGAGTCGATTGTTCTTCCTGTCGTGGAATATCCACACCAGGACGGTACCGTGTGGATTGGATCTCAGACAAGTCTAGCATGAGTTCCCAATCTACGTAGGGATGGATGGATGTCCGGAGTGGAGGGCACGGGCCACAATCGAACCAACACATTGTTGGTAATGAACACATTATTACCACGAATATTATTATCATTTATTATTGTTATCGATTGTTAACTGGTTGTTATTTAAAAGATAAGAAGGATAAAGCTTTCGGCGTAGACCAATCTCCGAGGGATGAGTCATGCATTCTACTTCACTAAGCATCGTTGAAGGTGATTGAATGCAAATTTGACCTTTGCAATGAATGGGGGTGGCTAACGATTCATCGAGCCAGTGCTGCTATCCTCCCGGACAAGTCTGATACCAATTTGCCGACCTCAGGGCGACGGAAGGCTTGGTGTGGCGCGGACGCGAGGATCGATCCCATATATGTGTCGCAGGGCGCCTCCGACCACTACATCACACGCCCCCCGAGTTAAAGCTAGTTAGCAACACTATTCATTAATTAATGTTAATAAAATTATTAATTTAATCACTTTTTTTATTTACTGCCTATTCCTTTACGCCTATGGTAGGGTATGCTGCGAAATATAACTACAACGATGCTGCGATATTTGCTAAACTCCCGACCGCAGGTTATTAGTAGTATTAGAAGTTACTGGAAATCATAATCCGTTACAAACCATGAACACAGTATAATTCCAATGGTTAATAATTTAATTGATTATCATAGTGGTCATGTTATAGTAATTGTACTTTAAGTTATACATTACCATGTTGTTACAAATTATCATTAACAGTATTAATGTTTATTGTTTTTGACGATGTCACCAATGCTACTAATTAGTTTTCAAATCAATCAATCAGTTAAAATCATTCGATTTATTACTAGTTTTCAATCAGTCAATAATTTTTATTAATTGTCATCAATGTAATATCAGCTCTTATCGAGTTATTGTCACTTGTTATCGAATTGAAATATGGCTCCTTTTTTTTTTGTCGGCACGGGTAGCACGGTAGTTAGAGGTGTATTGCAATACACATGTGGAGTTTCGTTCTATCCCGCGTCCTAGATCATGCAACATCACCATCATTCCCAGGTTACCAGACCGGTACCAAATTTGTCTGGAAAGATAAAAGCATCGATTTTATACAGCGGTGTACCACTGTACAGCCCAGATATGTATCCAACCACCTCTCACGATGTTTGACGATGCCGAGTGAATGGCGCAACCCTCAGGGATTGATCAACGTCAGACGCTTTATCTGACGTTTTTTTCAAACTGTCCAATCATTTTGATGCTGAAGTATTTGCAAAACTCCAGACCGCAGTTGTCTGCGATGGGGAACGGACACGCTATTCCCCTTTCCGCTGGCTAGCGCGTTCATCACCACACCATGCGGGTTCTTCGTTTCATCTGTCTTTCAGCGAGTCTTCTACTTATCAGCCATGAGCAACCACCCTCTATGGGGGATTTGCGCTTCCCAGATCAATTCCGTTGACGGGTGTTTGCTGATGGCTGGTGGATAGAAAACTCGCTAAGAGACAGGTGAAACGAAGGACCCGCATAGTGGGGTGACGAACGCGTTAGCTCGCGGAAATGGTAATAGCGCGTTCGTTCTTCACCGTTGACACCTGCGGACCGGAGTTTTGTTAATATCTCAGCATCATTATGGTTGTATTTCGCATAATATCCTGCCGAAAAAGGGCACGTGTGGCGCAGTGGTCGGAGGCGCCCTGCAATACGCATATGGGATCGATCCTCATCTACGTAGCTCACCAAGCCTTCCATCCCTCGGGGTCGGCAAACTGGTACCAGACTTGTCTAAAAGGATAGCAGCACTGGCTCGATACATCGGTAGACTACAGCGAGTTATTGTAAAGGCCAGATATGCATTCAATCACCTAAAAACGTTACTTAATGGAGTCGTATGCATGGCGCATCCCTTAGGCATTGGTCAACCCCGAGAGCTTTTTCTTTTATCCTTTTAACTTGCCGAAAAAAAATAAAAGAAAAAATTTAAACTCTGTCTAGTCACATTATTTGTATATGATGTGCCTGATGCACATCGGTATGCTTCACTTGAGTTCGCTGCTCGTGAAAGACGATCATTACGACCAAACACATTATTTAACACTTAGAACGATTAAAAGGGCTGTAGAATTTTTGAGATTCGTGGAAAACTGATGGGCGGATGAAGACTCATGACATTGCTTTGTGAACCATATCCGTCTCTAAGCCCAAAGGGATCGTTTTAGAATACAAAACGGTTTTCTAGTTTGTACGATACAAACGTTGAATTACTTAATTAGCCTTGTTTAATCTAAAAAGCTACTTCGGAGATTTTCTCGCTATATCAAATGTTCGCGCGAATAATTCACCAAAATCATAAAAATCGTACTTTTATGACGTATTCCACTCAGCACCAGCCTAAGAAGAGCAGTCTCTTTGTGATAGGCATCACGGTTTTGACATGATATCCCTTTCACACTATTTTAGGCTTAAAAGTAACAATAAACTGACCATCTATACCTCATAAAAGTTTGCTCGTGGCTGCGCTTCTGATAAAGATATAGATCTCTTTCTGAGATTGGATGAATGTCCCGCTATAGATTGCAGTTCAACTTGTACCCAGAAACGCCTTCCTGCCTCAAATAAAACATTAGGGTAATAAAATCCCTTATATATGCGCTTTACACCCTCCGAATAGGTGGAATTTTGCATGAACTTACGCCCATGGTATAATTTTCCTCAATAGTCTCCAAACATGCATCGGAAAAAATTATAAAGTTGCTTTTACCATTAATTGTTGCTGTGAGGACACTCTGAAAGAGCTGCTCCGGATAGTAGCCTGCTGTCTCACCAAAATGAGTTCACACATACATCAGGATCACATTAATTTGTAAACGAATTTATTGACTCACTCGAATCAGAAAAAATACATTCCACTCAATATGGTTTTTTTTAGTATCTTACAGAAATATTTTTGCTCTGCTATATGCCACCTCCACCGATCACACTCACAGATGGACCTGAGGTTGGCTAGTCGCCTGGTAACTTGGCGCGTCCCTAGGTGGCGGATTGGTAGTTAATCGCGGACCATTGCTTCCCTGAGACTCACTTGAATCCAGGGGATGGACTCCCTGTTTCTGCTGCCCCGATTTGGGTCACACGTTCTGTATTTATGGGGATGTAATCATCTATGCGTTTGTGGATATGTGGTTCTTGTTTATGCGGATTGTACTCTACGAGTCAATTCAGCCGGAAGCCTACAATCAAGTGAGGGAGAAATATACGGGAGGCGGTTAGGAGCTGCCTCCAACAAATGAGCTCCATGTATATTCTGGCAGAGGCCGGCAAGCTAACCGTGAGTATATCCAACTCCCACGTTCAGAGGTCAGCAAGCTATACGTGGGTATCAAAAAGTTAGACACAGTAAGAGAAACGGGCCCCATTACTCTGACCCTAAAGGGCAGAACTATTTTAAACTGACTAAATGGCAAAAAACAAAACAAAACTAAGGTGATGGTCTGTACCTAAAATGCACCCGCCTTTGTATCTGATTCCTTTATAGAAGACTTGATCATGCATGTAGGTAGAATAAGGTACGGCAGCGGACTAGCTGAAACGAGTAGATACCTCTTATTCAACCCCCGTCTTTGACACTGGAGATGACACAAGAAGAGAAGAACTGTTCTTCGGAACATGTAAGAGTAGAGGAGTCTATAGCGTCGGCTTTCTCGTCAACACGAGCTTGGCCATAGTCATCGATTCATTAAAACAACTAACAACCCGAATTTGACGCTTACGACTGCAGAGATGTGGATCAATACCGGCTTTGGCAATTTTCTTGCGTGGAGTTGGAGGAGTTCCACGGAGAAGACCGCGTATTCTTCGAAGTTATCGGTGGAGATTTTAATGCTAAGATTCGACCTAGAAGATCATCTGAAGAGCGC